TTATAAAACATTTAATTATTTTATTTTATTTATTTTACTATTTGTTAGAATAATTATTAATTAAATTTAATAAATATAAAATGTTGAAAAAAAAAAAAAATGTTTTTAAAATAGCATTGAATTTTTTTAAACTGATATTTCAAAAAATATATATATATACATATATATTGCGTAATGAATGCGTTTAACTTTAAAATAAAAAGAAAAAAAAAAAAAAAAAGCGTGTTGAGTTATTCGGAGCGTGTTACGTGCGTAACGAGTACACCTTGGGAAATCAGTGCGAATTTTCGAGTTAACTTTCGAACAGAATTTGCTCTCCTTTCAGAAAACTCATGTCAGATATTTAACCTCGAAGTTCTTGTTAAACTTTTCGAGAAAATAGAGAGAGAGAGAGAGAGAGAGAGAGAGAGAGAGAGAAAGAGAGACATATGCGAATGTGTGATATGTAGATTTTGGATGCATATATATATGAATCTATATAAGCTTGTACATAAATTTAATTTACTAGAACGTGGTATATACTTCTATAATTATCTTCATGGCTTTCATCTTCGTGTTATTTCAATTAAAAAATTTAAATATATATATATATATATATATATATATATATATATATATACTATTCAATTAATTATATGAAATATATATATATATATTATGATTAGAATCAAATAAAACATATACTATAATATATAATAAATTTAATATTAAATTTAATATTAAATTTAAAATATATATTTTTTAATGTAATATTAAATTAATATATAATAATTACTATATAAATATATTATTATAATTACTATATAAATATATTATTATAATTATATATTATATTTTTGGATTAATATGATATAAGAGAACTTATATATATATTTTATTATTATTATTATTTATTATATATATTTATTTATTAATATATTATTTATTATTATTATTATTATTATTATTATTATTATTATTATTATATTTTTTTCTATTTTCTATTTTCTTTTCTTAATACGAAAAATTAAAAAAAAAAAATTACATATAGAATTTTAATACTTTTTAAATACTTTGTTAATACTATATATATTAATTTTTTAATTACTACTTTTTTTTTTTTGGTAACAACTTTCGTAAATAATTATTTTTATGACAAGCAATAATTGTTTCCCCATTTGTTTCCGAAACAAATCATAATTTCTTATCTCTTTCACACGAGACACACAAAACAAAAACAAAAAAAAGAAATATTTTTAAAAACTAAGATAAAATTTAATCATACATGTGTACAAATGATACACGTAACACCTGTTTTCAACATTTCAATTTATCAAAAATACTAGATAACTATTTGTAATCGAGCATTCGTCGAAAATGTTGGCAGAAGATTTTGATACTCGAAATAAACCAGTTAAGTTTGTTAATACAAACATTTTCTATCACTCTTATTGTTATTTTCAAATGAAAAAAAAAAAAAAAGGTATAATAGTTCTACATTTTTGTTCGAATTAAATCGATTATTTAATAAAAAGAAGAAAAAAATAATAATAAAACGTTAATTAAATATTTTCAAAGTAAACACCGATCTGTTTGATTAAATTTTTTAAATGGAAACAAAAAATATCGTACAATGAATTCTTCACATTTTTAATAATCTTATCTCTTTGAGTTGTCAATTCTTCTACGATCGATGGAAAGATAAGTTGTAATGTATTAAAAAAAAATAAAAAAAAAAAAATAAAAAAAAAACATAATAAGATAACAATTGAAATGTTTAACAAACGTTGCCAACTATTTCATCATACGTTAGTGAAAATAATTTATAATTGTTTCATTTTTTTTTTTAAATAAGAAAGAATTTTGATTTATACAATTGATTTCAACTAAAATTTGATCATAATGTTATGACGAATGATAATAATTTTCGTAATAAAAAAGAACCAAAAAAGAAAAAAAGAAAAATTAAAAGAATTTAAAGATGATCGAATAGATTTTTATTTTAAGAAAACGAGGACATATGTATAAATAGTTTATCTACTTGTGTGTACATAAATAAATTGACAAAACTTCGAGTTGAACTTATTTAACGAGTTTAAATCTCGAATATCAAATGTTATATGATCGATTATAGCATTAATATTACATGATGAATTTTAATTAATGTAAATGACACAACGATACCAATCCATTTGTTACCACACACACACACACACACCCAATTATATTTATTTAATAATTATTATTTATTACTAATTATATTTATTTAATAATTATTATTTATTACTAATTATACTTATTTAATAATTATTTATTACCACAATTATATTTATTTAATAATTATTATTTATTACCACACAATTATAATTATTTAATAATTATTATTTATTACTAATTATATTTTTATTGTCAATTATTTTTATTACAAATTATATTTTTATTGCTAATTATTTTTATTATTAAAAATCAGCTTAAAATGATCGTAAATAAATATATATATATATAAAATATATATACTTTTATACTAAATATACTATTTATACTATATATACTTTTTTGTCCCTTTTCTTTTTTTTGTTTGTTAAATATTTCATATTTACAACTACGTAAAAAAAAAAACCTTGTTTTGTATTTTATTTTACGCCGTTGTTGGTCAGAAAAAAAAAAAAAAGGAAAACGTAATTATTTTCTACTATTTCTGTTTTATTTTTTTTTTCCTTCTGTTATTAAACCTAATCACTTTGTAATTTATTCATTATTATTCGCACGTTTAAGAATATTTTTTTTCCTCTTTTTTATTCCAAATAAATAATAATACAACACGAAGAGAAATATATCAGCTGATATTTTATAAAAAAAAAAAAATTAATTTGACTTATATCCTTCGATGATCATTTTCACTTGTAGCATTGACACGAATAATTATTCGACTGAATTCTTATGATTTAAGATAAATCTATTCTACTTGTACTTGTATCTATCCTACATGTAGTAAAAAAAAAAAAAAAAAAAACACACATATGTATACATATTTTATTTATTATTTTAATCAATGAAACTATCGCAAACATTAATCATCGTAATATTATATATTAAAATGTGCCTTTTTTATTTTTTTGGTTATTTTGTTTAATTAAAATCAATGATATGTGTATTTTCAATTCGAAATAATCAAGAAGTATAATTCTCGTGTATGAAATTGAAGTAATTAATACACGTGACGAGAGAAAAAGAAAAAAAAACATTGATGACGTCAAAAATACAATATTTTAACGTCAGTATTCGTATTTACTGAATTACAAGAAATAATTGCATAATATTTTTCTGATTATTCGTGTTAAATGGAATACGATAAAATGTATGAAGCGAAAAAAAAAATCCTTGAATAATGTTTGTATTATATAAAAAAAAAAAAAAGGTATATTAAAAAAATTGAATTGAAAAAACAGTGATGGTATGAACGATTTGGTAAAGTAGATGACTATAGGTCCTGTTTTACTTCAGTATTCCTAAATATAACTACCATTTGCACTGGCTATTTCCTACTCGAGATAAACTCGAGCCAAGAGAGCAGAAAATCATCTCCTTTCGTTAAACTATACACACATCATTTAAAACTACGATGCTTCAATGATCAAATTATATTTATATCATATTTTTTCTTTTTTTTTTAATAATAATAATAATCGACAATTATATTTAAATATAAATACATATTTATTCGAATTTATTACGATTGAAAATAACATTAGAATAATAAATTATTAATAAATATTACTTAAATATTATTAAATTTAATTAAATAAAATAATATATTATAATATTATTAAAATATATATATATATATATATATATTAAATAAATTAAATATTATTAAAAAATATTAATAAATTGTTCCAACGTATTTATCTTTTGATTTATTATTATTACCAACGTATTATTCTTTTGGTTATTTAATTATGGTTAATATTTGTAATTAAATTGTTCGTATAATTAGAAGAAAGAAAATGAATTCAAATGAATTCATAAAAAAGAAAATATTGAAAATTATAAATGAAAAATGATCGAGTGAACAAATCAAAATAAAAATGAAATGAAACATTCTATACATAAAAAATGAAAAATGATCGAGTTACGATCGTTCGAAATGAATCACTTTAAAAAAGAAAATGTAAACTATACGAATCGAAATAAAGAAAACAAATGTTAAAAACAATGAACGAACGAAAAAGTGTGTTTTTTAAACAATTTTTTATCCCTTTCCTTCCCCCCCCACCCCTTTCACTTCAAAAATATTCGGACAGAAAGGTAACATGGATTTGTTTGTTTACAAAAAAAACTTTGCACGATCAGACATTTATCGTTTATCTTCTTCCCATACACTATGTGTTCATTCTGCATCTTTTATATATATACATATACACGATTCTTGTAAAAATGTTTACATTTCGTTTTTCTTAATATTTTCATTTTCGTTCTTTCTTTTTTTTTTTTTTTTGTGTTATTTTTGTCCTTTATGTTACTTTATTCTTTTTATTAAATTTAAAATCGAGATAAAATAACGCAAATAATAATTTCCATTATTAATTCGATCATTCGAGTTTCCATAGTAATTTTCAGGTAATATTATTGTTAGGTTATGTTAATTTAATTTATATTATAGTTAATTGAGACTGTATTGTTAAATTACATTGATGTCAAAAAGACCAAAGATGTAAATAGTTGAACCCAGTTTATGCGCTATTCTTTTGTTTTTCTTCTTCTACGATTTTGTCTTAAGATGTAACACGTGTTGATTATCTCATATTAAAATATATCCGAAATTATTAAAGTAATCCTTTCTATTTTATCCCATATAACAACATAAATTAACAATTATATTTATATTACATTAATTAAATATTATATTTATTAAACTAATATTATTAATATATTAATTAATATTATATATAAAATATATATATATATATATATATATATATATATATATATCTATTTATAAATAAATAACATTTACTCACTTTAAGTCGATGAAGGGAGCCATCTCTCGCAGCGTTGTAGACAATTAGAGCAAAATCCATTTTTTTGTCATGGCGCCCCATGGTATGATGATCTATCATGATCTTCACCAGCAAACCTAACCTTTCCTTTCCTCTCCTCTCCTCTCCTCACCTAACCACTTCCCACTTCTTCCCCTTCCCTTTCTAACTTTTTCTTCCCCCTCTTTCTTCTCTTCAACTCTTGTTCAGCACCAAACTTCCCTGCTGACTATTCCTGTCGCACGGTTTTAAACCTTCCTTTGTGTTCAACACAAGACAGGTGTTTTTTTTTTCTTTTTTTTCCCCTTTCTTTACGAAGAAATATGAAACTTATTTTTCCTTTATGTCGTCAGACTTTATTTAACAACTTTCTCACAATATTAATCTCCCAGGAATAATGTTTGTAATATTTTCTATTAGAATTTAGAAATATATCGATATAACACACACACACAAAGAGACAATTTTAATAAATTAGTGAATTCGTTGTCAAGAAAATGTCTACGATCGTCGTCGTCGTCGTATTTGATTAAACATCGTCGTTTCTTTTTTTTTTTCTTTCTTTTCCTAATTTTTAAATCGTCGAATATAATATTATAAACTCACTCAATTTTATTATTATCAATTAATAGTCTTTAATGTTTTATTCGAGGTTAGAATAATACGTATTGTTAAAATCGAATCTTCATGTTGGCTAAATTTCAACAAAATTTCGTCCATGCGATAATTATCGAACGTTTTATTTCTCTACCGTATGATCGCGAACAAAAACAACGATAATAACGATAAAGACAAACAGGTTATGTAGAATAAACTCACTAGCCATATGAAATATTCCGAACAATTTTTATTAAAAAGAACCTCTGATTTCGAAAGCGTAACGCGATACGGACGAAGAAGTACATCTACTTTCCTTCTTCTCACGAATGCATGTCTACGAGTTTAACGCTATAGATGGCGGTGCATACTACCCCCCTACTCAAAACAACGGCTGTTCAACGACAACTAAATCAACTCGACTCGACTTGAAACACACGCACTAATGGCTTTTTCTAATCGATCTTTGTTTCTTTTTTAATGTTTTCTCTCTTTTACACATTACATTTATATTTCTTTCTTTTTTTTTTTTTTTTTAATTTATTCTAAAGATCTATCTTTCTCGCTCCAATCTACAAAGACTTGTTTTCGTTCTCTCTTTGTCTTTTAATCGTCTTGTTCACACGCATGCGCTTTATTCATTACTTAGCTCAACGAGGCTTTCCCACCACTACTCCTACACTTTATTCAACTTTTGTCCCCTCCATTCAACGAAGTGCTGGATATCGACGTTCTTTCAATACGACCATATGTTTACCATTGACAATACTCACTTTAACTTTTTTACCGACATAGCAAAGTATTCTGTTCCATATCTCGCCACCAGATCGCGCCACGTTATGATGATTTTTTTACTATCACTTTTAATTATAATTTAAAAGGATTACTTTTATTCTTTTTAATAAAAAGATTGTTAATATTAATATAAGTCGACTTTAATGAACAAAAAATATCAATTTATTTAAACTAATGTAAAATAATCATTCATAACTACAGAAAAGATTTAAATATTGCCGCGCATAAGATACGAGGATTCTTGGAACGAGATTGGTTGAAAGAACTCACACGTTCATTGATAAATAGTAACACATGATAACCCTCACTTTCATCTTAGTTACTAGCTTGACCACTAGTGGGCGATAGTAGGTACTTAACGTAATGGCGGTCAAAGAATATGGTACTCATTGATGGTATCAATGAATACTATCAAAGAATATAGTATTCATTGATAGTATATGATAGTATATATAGTATAATTATATTATAGTAGAATTTTAAATAATTATTATTTAGCAATTAAATAATATTAAATAATTAATATATAATTAATGACCACATTTTATATGTATATAAATATTTATTATATAATATATAATAAATAATATATATAATAATATAATTTACTATATCGATGATATATTATTATCCATTTCTTCTTCCCCCCTCTTTCTTTTTTATTTTATTAAATCTCTTTTGTATATATCAACATGTGTACAAATATCATAAGAGACGAAAAGTATATGATGAATATGGGATATAAAAAACAGAGAAAGGGAGAGAGAGAAAAAAAGGAAGAATAAATAAAAAGAATCGCGGTATAAGGTAGAATGCAGAAGTCAAAAGGGAATGAGAGAGGGTTGGGAAAGGGTGGTGGCGATGGTGGTGGGAGATACTCGTCAAGTCGGTACTCCACCCCCTCGGCTTTAACGCCTCGGAAGTGACGCACTCCTTCGTGGATACGAGCTTTTACGTCAAGCTTGTTCGAGTTGCTTCTCCACCCTTGTGTAGACGACGCGAAGGGACAAAGAGAAAGAATAAGAGAGACAAAGAGAGAATGAGAATGAAACAAGAGTTTCCAAGATTCGATTTTATCCCAAGGTTCCTAGTTTTTTTTTCTTCGATTTATTTCGTTAGTCACGAAAACTATGCGAATATAAACTTACTTATGTTAATAACAATATTATGTATTAACAAAATTATTACATTATTTTAAAGATCTGTTTTGTATTGTAGTGCAACGTTTAGTAAAAATGTTGATGCATTAAACCAAGTTAGGTGAATTTTTCTACAATGTTTAGAAACCACGTACTCAGATAGAATATACTCCGTGTTATTTGTAAAATTATGAATTATTTATGTTTATTCCTAGAACACAGTTGCGCTCGACAATTTCGCACTTTATTTATCTTTTCTACATTTTTCTCATTTTCTCTTTCATTTTTTTCTTTTCTTTTTTTTTAATCTTTCCTTCATGATGAACCACAATACATTCGGTTGGTCGTTACCTAAAAATGCTATATTTTCGGGTTGGAAAGCTACAAAACATTTGACACATAAATAAAAAGAACAAAAGTAACTACGCGTTGTAAAGAAACTGAAACAAATTTTACTTTTTTTCTATTTTTTTTTTTTTTTNTTTTTTTTTTTTTTTTTTTTAGGGGGATACATTTCATCAGAAAATTTCATTTTGGTTAAGTATTATGTTTACTTTGATAATAGTTAAGTTCAAATGAATTATTAATATTCAATTTAATATTAATTATATACGTGAATATTATAAATGCATATTCTATATAAATATTATATCATTTTACTATAACACTTTTATTTATTCATAGTTTTAATCAATCCACGTATTACGAAAATAATTAATAATAATAATAATCATATATATAATCATAATTAATTATTACTCAATACACATTTTACTTTAGTCTCATTATAATAACGATCATCAGCAAAAAAGAAGAGAAGAAAAGAAAAAAAATATAATTTATGAAAGTAAACGTGTTAGATATCAAGAAAAATATTGTTTCTATTCTAGTTTTGTTAATATAATATTGTTATTGTACTATAATTTATTTTATTATATTATTCTTCAGAAAAATTTGCAAATATCGTTATGAACATTCCCTCAATGAAATTATATTCAAGTTACATATGCGCAAACACATATGTAAGTTTGTATTGCATAGTTTATATAATGCAAAAATGTATGGTAAAAATGTAGTGTAAAAAAATGAAACGATTTGGGTTTTGTAAAATTTTAATTTATATCGAATTATATGGAATTAAATATAAAAACGATCGATCATCTATCGCGCAATTAAACGAAACGACGATTTGTCGAAAGAAAAAAAGAATAATAAAATGAAGAAATAAAAAGAAAGAAAGAGAAAGAATGAAAGAAAGAAAAAAAAATGGAAAGAGAGAGAGAAAGAAAAAAAGAGAGAGAGAGAGGGAGAGAGAGAGAGAGGAAGGGACAGGTTTGTGCGCATTACCTTCGCGAAGTCACGAATCTTCAATTATCGAAATGGAAGGGAGCCGAGTGAGAAGGCGGTGCATTCAGATTTCTTGTTTTTTTTTTTTTTATTCTTTCTTTTTATTTTTATTTTTTTTCTCTCCACGTATTCGTTTGTAAATGTATGCGAGATTGCATATAGATGTATGCTAGTGTACACGTATGCTCACGTGTGTATGTGTGTGTGTGTGTATGAAAGGTTGGTGGGTGGATGATTTTTTTTTCTTCTTTATTTTCCTTTCCTTTGCCGTTGTTGTTGTTGTTTTTTTTATCCTCCCATTTTTTTCCTCCCCTCTCACACTCTCCCCCTTTCTCTCGCTCCTTTTTCTTTCTCCTTCTTTTTCTTTCTTTTTTTTTTTTTTTAACATTTCTTTTTTCTCGTGGCACATTCTGCCGGCTGGCACAATGAGAGGACGGTCGCTTGGCATAAAAATGGGTACAGAAAAGAGTGCGTGGGTGGTAGGTGGGTCAGAGGTAGAACGAGATGGCTGATAGATGAAAAAGTATTCGTGGACTTGGACGAATACACATACACACACGAATATAAAATATATACTGAAATAATATACATATATATATATATATATATATATATATATATATATGTGTATATTATATACTTGTATTTATATGAGTGTATAACTTTTGGAAGTTTGTATACTGGTGTGTATGCAATATGCAATTGTGTATTACGAATATGCAAGTATGCAAGTATATAACTGGGTGTATAAGAATAGTTAGAGTGTGTATGTAAATATGTTAGTATGTTTATGAGAGTATATAAGTGTGTAATTTTGTATGTATGAATAGAAGTGTATGTGTAACTATATATGTAGAATGCAAGTGTATAGTTGTGTATGTAAGAATGTCAGTAAGTATGAATGCGTATAGATAATATAAACATATAACTGTGTATGTAAGAATGTTAATGTGTGTGTGTGTGTGTGTGTGTGTGTGTGTGCACTGTTTGTTAGGAAGAATTGGTAAAGTGGAAGGGAGAAAAAGACGAGGATAGAATGCCACAATGCACGAAAAGATGCGACACGAAATTCGGGTTGCAGGAATAAAAGGAGGTCTCTTCGCAAAGTCATAGTTAAACGAGAAGGAACTACTGAAGTCATTCTCGATAGTGAGAAAGGAAATATGTAAAGATGGGAAGGGACTGCGGGGGTGGAATAGTTCAGTGAGAGAAGAAGAAGTGATATCCTAACTTTACTTCCTATCCTTTTACTTCAAATAAGATAACGAATATACTTTGATATATGTATAACATATATATGGTGCATTCCACGTCAAATCGACCACTTTTTAAACCAACCCCTTTCGCTTTAAAATATTACGTTGCCTAATGTTTTCATTTACCCCTTTTCTCATCAAGTTTTGTAACAATGATTTTTCGAATATCCTACATTTTTTTATTTTTAATTATTAAAAGTATTTGTACAAACACACACGCAACACGCTTTAAATACTTTTTTTCATATATATATATACATTTCCTAGTTCAACAAATTATTTGATAAATCTAAGATTCATTTGATTATTTTTAATAAAATTCATGTGTCAGAAGGACCAACAAAATTAAATAATAATTTAAACATGTAAATATGAATTTAAATTGAATCTAGCACAGCCATTCGCCCGATAGTACTTGCGTTACATAATTTACAATTAGATTTGG